GGAAACCCCAAGAGGCAGGGTGAGGGAGTGGGCCCTGGGCAGCAACTGGAGGGGGCTAGCTGTGTGTGGAGTGTTTGGGTCACAGAACCAAGTCAGCAGCCAGGAAAGCTTTGGGGAGAAGGGAGGAAATGTCTGGGCAGCAAGGGCAAATCAGGTCATAGAGGCAGACAGAGTGATGCACAGGGGCATACACACACAAATGTACTCACAGACACACAATGCAGACTAATACCTGCATATACATATACACCCACGTATGCAAGCCAAACTAATGCACTCACACGTATGTGCACATCATCATATATATGGGCCCATACATGTACATATGCATGTGTACGAATGCATGCAGACACACCTAGTCACAGGCACATTTGCACATAACTAAATTAATGCAATCACTCTCTCTTTTTCTCTTTCTCTCACACACCCACAGGTTTATGCCCACAAGCAAAGCCAAACTTAAGGCATTTGCATATGTATGCAGACATCATAACACACTTGGGTGCACACAGGCACACATGTACATTCACACATGTATGCAGTGAACACACACGCACACACACAAAGCCAAACACATGCACTCACACTTGTATGCATTCACAAAATGCACACACCAACATGCACACACATATGAAGCCAGACTACTGCACTCACACGTGTACACAGACACACACAAATACAAAATAATGCAAGAACCACTTCCACACATGCACACAAGTATGCAGTGGGATGGCTGTGGGAGCCAAGCCTGGCTGGGACCCTGCTCTCTCCCTGGACTCCCATGGGAGTCTATCAGGGTGTGGATACTACTTCCCTGAGCATTGGTGACAAGGGCTCCCACCCCTGCCCCAGAGAACCAGGCTGCAGACACTCCACAGCACAGGCTTCAGGCACGGTGTTGGACAGGGGCAGGCAGGCCTGGACTGTGCAGATGGCTTCACACAGGGAGCCCCGTCCTCCTGCTAGGGGGGCGGGGGGAGAAGTCAGGGCAGGATGGAATGACTCATGCCAGAGGGTGAAATGTACAGCCTGCCTCAGACCCCCTGCCTGGGCAACCACTAGCCTGTCCAGCTCCGGTCATTAGTGTTATGCATTAGATTCAGCTGAAGGCCATGCCACTTACCCATTCACCTGGCTGGCACTGACATTACCTGGTGACCTAGCTCTAATGCACGACATACACACACGCTCAGCTCCGGGTCCCCTCCATGCCTTCCCAGAGCCCAAACCAACAAGGGGGCAAGAGCAAAGGGCTGAGGGGGGGAAGCAGGGAAAGACCACCCCAAACCCTGCTCGAGTTACCGCATTTCTAAGAAAAGCTGCTCAGTGGAGTCTCAAAAACATGCTGAAGATGGGAGCATTAAGCTGGGATCTCATCAGAGCTTGCACGGATTCTCTAAGAGCTTAAGACATTTTTGCACCAATATTGCAAAGCAGATGAAGTGCACTCCCTTCTCCCACCCCTCCCACCACCACCCCCATCACCCACCCCCTACCCGCATTTTCTTCCAGGAGCCTGGCTCCTGCCTAGACCCAGCAGCTGCAAAGCATCACACCCAAAGAAGCATGGGTTGGCCAGGAACTTGGCGCAGTACCCCGCCTTCCAGCCTGCACTGTGCATGTATGTGTGTGTGTGGGTGAGGAGGGTGCATGTGTTTGCAAAGAGGGGGGGTGTAAGTGCATTAGACATCCCATTTCTCAGAACTGATCTTTCCCCTTGCCCAGTTAATTGGCCACAGCATTGCTGCAGCTGATGCTGGTGAATACCTATAGTGTTGCTTCAAAGCAGGACTGTCTGATGCCTGTTTTAACCTGGGGGATGTAGGTGGGTTGGGGTAGCAAAAGTGGTCTTGGCTTTCCTAATCACCCCTAGTGCCAGAAGTGGGAGCTAGGACACAAGGCTTCATTTCCAAACTGCCCTTGAGCTTGGGCTTTTGACACCACAAAGAGCCACAGCTATTCCCATTTTTTGCCCCTTCCCTTATTTAAAGAAAATCCTCCAGTATTGGCTGATAACAGCTGAAAGTATGACAGCAGGCACTAGTGACACTCCCAGGATCCAGCCCCTGATGATACTGCAGCACAGATGAAAGCACTGGAGAGGAGGGAAACACCACAGCATTTGCTGCAGCACTGCCAGCCCAGGCCTCCAGCAGTCAGGAGGGCTTTTTTTGTTTTCCTGTTTAATAACCAAATAAGCATCCATTTTCATTGGCTTTCTGTTTTGAGCCCCTCAAGGGGATTCTCCCATCCCGCTGGCAAGCTTTTCTCTGCAGCAAGAAGATCAAGAAAGCCCCTTCCTTTTGGAAATGATTCCATCTTCTTTAGGTGACTCTGGGAGCTGGGACTTTCCCTGAACTGCTAGGTAATGCAAGAGCTGGCAATGCTGAGGAATGGTCAGGTTTCCGTGTTTGGGGCTTCATTTTCCAGAGGACACAGATCATTTGAGTTCTGGGTGATGACACTGGGTGGGAATTTCTTGTGAGTGCAGCTCTGTACCCACCAGCTTGCAGCAACATTACTTCACGGGTCTAAGTTGCATGAATACTGATGCAGGCTAACACTGGAGGGCTTTCAAAAGCCCTCACTCCCCTTTCTGTGCCATCAATGTCTCCTTAGCTGCTGCTGCTCACTTCAGTCAGCCGACTACCATGATAGAGGCAAGGCTTCAGCCAGTATCCAGCTACAGGCATGGCTCTGATTGCCACTAAGCTATCCACAGTCTATCTTTCCCACCTCAGCTGCGTTCCCAACCAGTGCTCTTGGGGAGACAGTGAATTGAAAGCTCCAGTCCAAGCCAAGAAAAGCACTGTTTTTAACTGACCCGTAAAAAATGTTTTTAATAACTTTATATATATATATATAAAATCATCACGGCTTTCTAATCCCTTGTCTGGCTTGGCTTGCCTGATCTTGAGCCTTAAATGGTACATTCAGAAGCCAATCCCTGCAGCTGTGTGTCTCCCCACCCTCCTCCCACTGCCAGCCTCTTGACTGAGGTAAGAAAACAAAAATTCATAACCAAAAGCCCTCACTCCCCTTCCTATGCCATCGCGGGGGGGAGGGGGGATTAAGAGCTAACCCCCCCATGGATATTTCCATATACACACACACATGCGTGTGCACATATATGTATGTATGTAGGTATTGGCTGGGGCTTTGCTAATGGATCAATGGACAGAAAAAGAGACAGGGCATCCTGCAAAGGAAGGCTGGGGTGGAGGGAACTTGAAGCATTGCTACCAGTCAGTGCCCATGACCACAAGCAAGGAAAGTGACTGCAGTGGCTTTACACATGTGAACATGGCTAGTGTGAAAAGTCAAGAAGCCTGACACACTGGGAAATCCTAACAGAGATGCGGGATCTGCTTGTTTGTTTTTAAATCCTTTGAAATCCTCCTTTCCCCTCCCTTGCTCCCTCACACCCCCACCCCGATCCTCCCTTCTCAGGTAAGATGAGGCAAACAAGAAAACAAAAGACAGATGGGAAAGCAGCCTGTGGGGTGGCTGAGGACAGACAGATGGACAGACCCCAGCTGGGCTGTGGGAGCTGCGTTTGGTGATGTTTCTCCTGTAGCCATGCATCTCCCAGCATGGAAGGCACAGGGGTGGGGGAGATCAGGGCTGGGGTGCAGGGGAGCCCCAGGGCAAGCCAAGGGTAATGAGAGCACACAGCCCTTCCTGGGGAATGGCTGCCCAGTGGGCAGGATGGGCTGCAGGGGGCTGGGACAGCACATAGGGTCAGGATGTCAGGGGCAGACCATGAACCCCTCCACACCTCACTGGTTACAACGGTGCTCCCTCCTGCAGCCCTGCTCAATCTGTCCCCTCCCCACTGCCCCGAAGGGCTGTGTAAACCCCTCCCAGCCCAACTCCCTGTGTCTAGTAAGTGCCATTTGGGAGGGCTTTTCACCCTCCACTCCTGCCCCCACGTTCCTCTCTCCACTGCTCCCCTGAGTTGCAGAGAATCAAGGCGTTAAGGTGGCTAGCTGAGCAGAGACTGTGAGCTAGACACTGGCATGATATAGCTGGGGGATAGTATATAGTGCCCTATAGGTATATACAGAACAGACTGGGTGGCAGTATAAGTGCAGTGGGGGGTGAGAGAAGGGGTCTGCTCTGTGGAAAACTGCAGCCCCCATGGGGAGTGGCGTGGGTGGGGCTCAGCACCTGGCCCCTCCCGGGTGGGCTGTAGAAGTGATGACTTCTCTGAGGCAAGTGCCATGGGGCACACTCGTGGATTGGTCTAGGAATGATGGGCCCTGTCCTCAGAGACAAGGAGCAGCAGGCAGTGGGACAGAAACTCTGGCAGGGTGGAGCTTGGCACACTCCTCTGGTTGGGCCATGCTGTGTTCGGTTTGGGAGAAGTCCAACATTTCGGCACCGTTTTAAAAACAGAAGCAGTTCAAATCTGAAGGGTGCTGCTGTGGTTCATGGGAGTGGGAGTCTGGGGGCCTACAGATCCCATTCTCTATGGGCTTGGCTCTCTTGCCAGACTACAACTCCCAGGATGTATCATCCTCTCTCCATCAGAGGAGTCCCTGCCTGTGGTGCATCATGGGAGATGTAGTCAGGGCAGGAGGCCCATCCTATAGAGAATGTGAGCTTAAGTGCCCAAACTACAACCCCAAGGTGGCACCAGGACACTGCCCCTTAAATCAACAGACCATGTTTGCTGGGCGTTTGATGCCTTGACGAAATATTGAAACTCCCTGCATTTTGCTTTGCTTAGCTGAGAACCCAGTTATCTGCTGCAAAATGGTTTCAATTGATAATTACCAACCTCAGGGGCACCTGCTCCCAAGCCCCCCACCCCTCCCCCATGGTTGATTCACCTTTGGGAAACCATCTCAGAACCACGGCCTTTGGCGGAGGAGAGACATTGCAAGGGGAGACACAGGTGCATGGGATGCAGAGGGGGGGCACTGGGGTTTCAGGGCAGCCCTGCCCACCCCATCTAGCCCAAGAGGTAGATGGGCCAAAGCAGAGAGTTTGTGGGGAGAAGTCCCCCAAGGAAACTGCCAGCCCCACCTCAGAGTCCTGATTCTCCGGTCTGGTGGGGGGGGTGAGGAACGGGGAAAGGATGGGCATTCTCCAGCAGTCAGACCTTGCAGCCCTAGCACTGGGGTCGGCTGGCACTCTGGCTCCAAGCCCTGCAGTGCGATGAAACCCCCCGCCCCCATGGGCCATCAAGGCGCCCCCCTGAAATGACCCTATCCACTGCCCACTGGACGCTCCCTCTTTTCCTAAAAAAAGTGCATTTGGCGTTCACACTCGGCTCTGTGACCCCCCGCGTCCAGGAACATCCCCCACTAATAATTTAATAGCTTTTCTCTTTTCAAAGTGCAGTTAGTTCATATTTTAGCCTCTCAGGGAGGGAATAAATGCTAAAAAAAATAAGGAACAAAAGAAGAAGAAAAAAATGCTAAGAGAAAATAATCAAAGGAAAACCTCTGTCGTCTGGGACTGTCCTGTGCAAACAAAAACAATGAACAAAGTCCTCGCAACAAGAGAGGTTCCTTCAGGGGAAGCCATGAGGTATCAGCTGAGCCCAGTGCCAGGGAGATGACAGGACGGAGAATGCCACATGTGTGGAGGGAGGGGGGGGCAGGGACATATTTTTCCTGCAATTGGGTTGAAATCGGGGCTATTTTTCCACCCCTGCCATCCCCCCCAGAATAGAGAGGTTCACAGGAAGTGGCATCCAGGTTGCGATTTCTTTCCCCTTCTCCTCCGATCCAATGCCTACACCCTCCCCCCACCCCCCAGCCCAAGTTTTGTGTGGTCTAAAGCCACGTGTGATACAAGTTTTAGCCCCTCTCCTCCCCCAATCCCGCCCCCCCACCCCCATTGAGAAACGGCAGCGGCCCTGCCCCCTGGCAGGGTGCCTGTTGCGCTGCTCGCTGACGCCCACGCGCGATATTAGGAAAAAAACCCCCAACAAAACAAAAGAACAAATTAAAATGTGTCCAGGAGGTGCCGGGGCGGGGCTCTTGCCCAAGTCCTAGCCCTGCCCCCTGCTCCCACCCTTCCCCCTCCCCATCTGCCCTAGACTTCCTGATCCTCGAAGACCTCGAGGAAGAGGGGTGGGAAAAGCTCAGTGGGGCACTCCACCTTCATGTGCAGGAAGCGGCTGCCGTGGCAGGCACCAATCATGCGCAAGTCGGTCACCTTCATCAGCAGCTTGGGCCAGAAGTGGGGAATGTTGTGTTTGCGATAGTTGATGTAGTGTTCAAACGCCAGCAGGTATGTCTCTTGGCTTTTCTCAATCTTGTCAATGCAGAGCAGCCCGGTGCGGTCTGAGGAGGGATGGACAGGCATCAGGTGTGGGCCATGTGGCAACATGTAGTGGGCGTCTGAACTCCCAGCAGCCCCTCATTCCCTATGAACACCCACGCTGCTCCCTCCCACCAGTATCTATGTCCATCTGTCTCTTGCTTGGGTTGTGCTGCGGGCCCAAGCACTGGGTGGGCTCCCGGTGTAGCACATGCTTATACGTGGCCACTGGCAGAGCCTCATGCACGTTGCACCCAGGGGCTTTTTCTCCCATAACCCAGACCCTGACTCTAGAGCAAAGGGAGCACTCCCTTGGCTGGCACTATAATAGCTGTTACCATGGGGAAGAGATCTAGGAGCCATTATGGACAGTTCGCTAAAAACATCAGCTTAGTGCTCAGCAGCCATCAAAAAGGCAAAAAAAAAAATGTTAGGAGTTATTATGAATGGAATTGGAAACAAAATTGAAAGTATCATCATGCCCCTTTATTAAACCATAGTGCATCCACCCCTTGAATACTCTGCCCATTTCTAGTCCCCACACCTCAAAAAGGATACAGAAGAACTAGAGAATGTCCACAGAAGGGCAAAAAGAATGATTAGTGGTATGGAGGAGCTTCCATATGAGGAGAGACTACAGAGGCCAGGCCTGTTCAGTTTAGAAAAGAGATGCTTGAGGGAGGGACATGACAGGGATTTACAAAATAGTCAATAGCGAAGAGAAAGTAATTGGGAATTTATTATTTACTCTCTCTCACAAGACAAGAACTAAGGGTGCCAAAATGAAACGAGTAGGTAGTAAGTTTAAAACTAACAAAAAGAAATTCTTTTTCACACTGTGTGTCATTCAAGTGTGGAACCCATTGTCACAAGAGACTGTGGAAGCTGATAGTTTAGCCAGATTTTGAAAGGGATTGGATAAATTTTGGGAGGAAAGGGGCATCAGTAGCTATTGACCATGGGAGCTAGGGATATAGCCTCTGAATCAGAATTTCCTAGACCTTAAACCCTAGAGGCTGCAACTGAGAGAGGAACAGTAGAAAAAACCCTGGTCACTCTCCCTTTCAGCATCTGCTCTCTGCCACTGAGTGACACAGGATCCTGGGCAAAATGGATCTATGGTCTGACTCAGTAAATGTTCTATGTTCTTATGGTACCAATAGTAGGTGCTTTACCCTCCTTTTAGGCACTGAGTTGATGCATCTTTCACAGAGGGCACTGGGGGGAGCCAGGGGCCAGAGCTGAGGTCCAGGCTGCCATCTCAAGCTTCAGCTGAACCATTATAAAGGATAGGGAGGAACCACCCAGCTGCAGAAGCCACACTAGTGTCTGGCCAGGTGCATGTTGAGAATATCTGCCCCTACCCTGCAGCAGCAGGGTACAGGTGGGCGCAGGTTGGGTGCGGTGGGGGAGGTGGTAAAGGGCCGGCTGTTACCTGAGGACATCAGCAACACTGCCTGGAGGAGCGCAACTTCAGTGTCATCCAGGTTGAAGGCAGAGAGCGACTTGCCCAGGTCAAAGATGGCGTCTGACACCACGCCCAGCCCACCATTCTTCAGCTGCTCCCGCTTGACGGCCATCTCGCCGCTCAGCGTTAGAGTCTCGCTTTCAGGGTCGTAGCGCACTGCTGCTCTCAGGGACATGATCTCCATACAGCAGCCCTTCAGCCGGATGATCTGGTCTTCGCAAGGCAGCTGCGCACAAGGCACATAGGAGGGTCAGATGGGGGGGCAGACATCCTCTTTTCCTGACCCAAGACCCTGCCTCTCCCTCACTGTCTCCTTCCATTTGTCCGCTCCTTCCAACCCTCTTCCCAACCCCTCACTCTATCCCTTCTATCAAGACCCTTCTCACCTTCCCACAAGCCCCTCTTCCAACCCCCCCATCCCCAACTGTGCTCTCCACCCCTCTCCTACCTCCGCAAACATGGGCAGTTTTTTGGCAAAGTCCACCACGCGGGTGATGGCCGGGGTGATGATTTTTGTAAACTCGCTGAATGCTTCCAGGTCGACCTTGTCCCCATCAGGCATTGAAGCCATGGGAGACTGGCCAATGTCTTCAGGCTGCAGGGAAGGATAGCACTACATGTTAGCGGCCTGCCAGCCATGCACCCGAGTGCTGGCTGGGACCCTCTTCCCAGCCTGTCCCCCATCCAAGCCTTTTAGGGAAGAGAAACAGGCCTCAACAGTCCCTGGGAGAGGACTGAGGGGGATAAGGCCGTCTCCACAACCCCAGCTCCATCTATCCAAGAGAAGCCTCCCTTGTGGTGGGTGTATGCCAGGAGAGGGGAGGTGAAAGGGACACAGGAGGAGACTTTGATTACACCCCTGAATAGAGGCTGAGTTGGGGAGAATTCATCTGTCATACACCCAATAAGCAGCTGATCTGGGAAGAGAACCCAGGTGTCCTGACTCCACCCCTTTCCCCTTCCAGAGCCAGGGAGAAAGCCAAGCATCCTGACTCCCAGTCCCCTGGTGCAACCACTAGACCCTTTTCCCCTTGCAGAGCTGGGAAAAGAACTCAGTAGTCCTGGTATCCCTTTCCTGCATCCCCCTGCTCCACCTTGTCAACAGTGAAGCTCAATTCACAGGCTTCCCTTGGGCTCCAGGGACACCCAAGAGCTGCAACCAGGAGAGGGAGCTCCTTCCCTGGCCAAGCCCCAGCCACATGAGGGAGACCAGGGGAGACTTCCTTCCCTTCCGGCCCATCTGCTGGGGGGAGGGATGGGGGGGACACAGCGCAGCTGTCCCATTCATTCACCACGCACTAGGAGATTTAACCCTTCACAAGCTTCAAGGCAGCAGCAGGGAGGGGCAGGGGTTGTTAGCTGCAACAGTGGCAAGTCCTTCCCTGGGGTGATGGCATGGGGCTGGAGGCTTCTTCCTTTCAGTGGTGGGGGGGGGTGGGGATTTGTGTCTTCTCCCACTATTCCCAGTACATCAGGGTTCAGTGCAGACCCTCATGCTGTGATCCCCAGCTAAATCCTCACTGAGCACAGCAACAGAGCTGGGAATGGAACCCAGGAGTCCCAGCTCCGTCCCCTGCTCTAACCACTAGACTCCATGTCCCTTCCATTACTGGGAAGAGAATCCGGGAGACCTGGCTTTAACTCCTGTGACCACGCTGCATCTTCTCCCCAGGTCCTGAACCCCAGGCTAATGGCTGGCGCAGTGTACACGTCTGGTAGGACTGCAGTGTTTGTGTGCCTGGGTTCTTTCCCACTTCCTGCCACAACGAGGTGCTCTCTTCCACCCCTAAGATTCTCCAAGACACCCATGAGCTTGGACTGGGACTCCATGTCTTTAGCCTTAAAGTCATGGGTTCGAATCCAGAATGGGACAGCAGGGCCAGAAGGCAGCCACAGCCCAGGAGTGTTTTGGTGGCCCATGAATGAAATACAGTTTCTGGGACTTGGTCCAGTTTGTAGCAGCTGTCATAAAGCCCCTCCCTCCTCACTGGCCTGAATGCAAGGTGGACCAAGGGTGCCCTGAATCCCTAAGCAGTCCCATCCCTGTGATGGTGGGGCATGGGAAAGGGTCACAGAAGCAGGGAGGAGTCGTGAGGTCCACAGTCTACTGTCCATGGATGAGGACCCCAAATTTCAATCACCCTGGTATTGTGGCTCTGACACCCCATGGGAGCAGGACAGCACTGCCTCAGTGGAAGGGGGTTGAATGCAACAGCTGCAGATGCTGATCCACACGCATTTGACACCTGAATGAACTCACAGATTTGCCCCAGTGACAGAGCAAAGGAAAAGGACAAAAGTAACCCTCAGCTACTGCCAACAATGGCTCCACACTGCAGGGAGAGCCAAGTACACTTGCACACACGTGACAACAGGTGTATTAGCAGGCCTTGCACGATGGGCAAGGGCATGCATGTGTGACGGGAAGGGGTTTGCAGAGTGGGTGAAGGTATGTACATGAGCAACCCTGCACACATGTGTGCAATGCAGAGGTGCAGCTTGTGGCCTGGGCGTGGGTCCGCATCAGGTGAGTGGGAGTTGTGCCCTCACCAGGAATTTCCGTTTCTGTTTCCAGTGGCTGCCCTGGGCATTGGTGCTGCGATGCGCCTCAGTCACTACGTGGATCAGCTCCCACTCCTCGGCACTGGGCTCTGGGCGGTGCTGCAGAGACTTGATCATCTCCTCCTTGCGCCGCCGCTCCCGGTTCTCCTCAATCAGCTTCCTCTTGGCTACCCTCTTGGAGTCATCCAGCACCACTGGGGATGGCAGAGGCAGAGAAGGGGCATGAATACATGTGGTGGCTGTGGCTCCCTGCACCCAGAATTTGGCAGCACACAGCAGCATCAGTGATTGGACAAGGCACCACATCATGTGACCTGTGGACAGGACAGGTTCCAACCCACCAGGACAAGGTATCTCAGGCTGGGTTAGCCCCTCCAGGAGCTGGTGTCACCCATGGGGCCTAGTTCTAAGTGGAATACTGCTAGGTGGGAGCAGTAAGGGGGCCTGAGAACATCCATGCTAGAGACTGGAGATGGTGCCATCAGGTGTGGGGAGCTCTGCTCCTTCCTGTGCTCTAGAAGTCACAGAACATAACCCCTGCAGCCTCTGACACTGCCCTCCCCTCATCCCCCCACCCTTCTCCATAAGTGTCCTCCATGCATTCAATCCTTGTTGCCCCATACAGCCCTCTCCACCCATGCCCACTCCCTCCTTCCCCATTCATTCATATGCCCATGCCCACACAGGTAACAGAGGCATGATCCTAGAGGTCTCTAGAGTGCGGCAGACTGAGATATGACAGGATCCAGTGAGTAGGTGTTGAAGCCACCCTGAGGCCCTTACAGTCCATGGCCATGCCCACAGAGATGCACTTCTTGAAGCGGCACAGCTGGCACTGGTTGCGGGTGATCTTGTCGATGATGCAGCAGCCATCATATTTGCAGGAGTAGGTGGGGTGCAGGTTCTTCTGGATGGTCCGTCGGAAAAAGCCCTGTGGGAAGCGAGACAGGTCCCAGTGAGTCTCCTGCTCGGTTGGCCCAACACAGGCAGAGTCCTCTGCAGAGCATGCTGTCCTTGGCCACACCACTGTCCACCCCTTGTTCTGGGGGGAGGGTGGGGAGTGGGGGGGGGAGGAGGCATCCATGTATTGTGAGAGCTGCTGGACTCAGCTCTGGCAATCCTGTTCCAGACAGAGGCAGTGCTGGGTGGGAGAGGGCTGTACTGTATGTGTTTGCGCCCAGCCACATCCTCCGCTGCCTCCTTGGGAGGGCAAGTAAGCAAGGGTCACCACTGCCCAGCTCTGGCCGAGGGAGACAGATCCTGTGCTCAGGGTGAGGAGCAATGTTATTATGAATGGCCTTTGGGGCAAGTACCAATGACCTCTAGAATCCCTGAGGAACCTTGCCCAGCATCCAGACCTGGCAAGGAAGGAAGGGGGATGCAAAGAGCTGGTGACTTCTTGTTAACTGACACACAGTGCTGCCAGGGCTAGGGGCAGAACACAGAATCGCTATGTCACAGCATACTGCTCTAACTAAACCATCCAGATCCCTCTAGACTAGGAGCCCACTGACAGAGTGGGAATAGCATGATAGGAAAAGGGGGAGAGAGAGGAAAAGACATGGAGGTCTGTGTGTTTGTCAGGACTGGTTAGGAGCTGTTTGGAGGTTTGGGTGAATGTCTTTGGTTGCTGAAAACAGCTTTACCAAGTTGCCCTAAGTTTTGCCAGTGATTTTCCAACCAACCCTCGCACCTACCTGCCCCCACTCAGCCCTGGTTTGTGCCTACATGGATTGATCAAGTGCCTCCTGTACATATGCAAGGAGCCAAACACTGCCCTAGCTGTCAGCCAAACTCATGCACCCGTGTCTATTGAGATCTAGTGCTGGAAGTAGCTGTGCAGGTCCTGGTCACCCATCAGGCATCAGCATCCCTGACAAAACCCATCTGTCTTGGTTTTGGCATGTATGCACAGACAGACACCCTGGCCAAGCTGTGCGACTCCTGCCCCCCATCCCGACTTTGGACACAGACACCCCTTGCAGGGCACCTGGTGAATTCCCCAGCTGTTTGTGAGGGAGGGAAGGAGGCTTTCTGTTTCCCACCCCCTGCCTCCCCCACTTCCCTCACTGCTGCTCCTGAACCTGAATGATGGCTTTTAGGGAAGGGGAGCAGGGAGGGAGAAGAATTTTCTTCAGTCACTCCCAGGAGATGGGGCTGCAGATGAGTGCTGCACAAGAGACACAAGCTGCCCCCTGCCCCCAGGACCAGGCTCAGGGTGGAAAATCCTCAGAAGCTGGAAAGGCTCCATCTCTGACCAGGCTCTTGCCCTGATCTTACCTCCTTGATGCAGGAGCTCCCTGTGACCTAGCCTAATGCTAGGTGAGTCCTAATGGCAGGCTAAGAGCAAGAGGCACATGGAGACCTCAGTGCCCATCTACAGGGCACCTCCTGCTGGACTGAGACAAGAAAACCCATTCCACAATCCCTAGCAACCAAGGTCATGCAGCAAGTTGGGAATGGAACCCAGGTGTCCTGGCCATCTTTCATTCCAGTTGGGAAGCCCCTGCCCTTGTGCCCCATGGTGGGGTCACGCCAGGCATCCCACACCTGGTGCTGTCAGTAGCTTGAATAGAGAGGCCAGTGCCAAAAGCAGGCCTGGAGGAGGCCTCCAGCATGGTCCCTGATCAGGCCTCATGGCAAAAAAGCCCCACATATAGCCCTGGGCTAAAACTAAGGGGCAATTGCTCTCCCAGCAATGAAATGCAGCTGCTTTTGGGATGCAGCATAGAGGTTGCTTGAGGGCTGCAGAGCAATGCCTACCTAATGATTTAGGGCAGAAGTGAAGAGAGATCCCTGGTCTGCCTTGAGTGATGATGGCACACCTCCCTTCTGCACCATGCTGCGGCACTGGAGTCAGCAGTGACTAAGAGGGGGCAGGGGCCCCTAGAGAGCTCCTGTTCTATGCAGTACAGCACCCCTAGCACTGCACTGGCGGATTGCAAACAGCACTAAGGGCACAGCATCCTTCCACTATAGGTGCTACCTGGAGACCCCTTCATGCACTGACCAGGCTGAAGGCTGCTGAGCCTGGCTGCATTCTCACTAAAAAGGCACCTCCCTCCTCTCTTGCTCTGCAAGCCCTATGCCCCATGGGTCTATGAGAGGCTGCACCTTTTGCCAGGTTGCGCCCATGCCTTACCTTGCAGCCCTCACAGGTGATACAGCGGTAGTGGTACCCTGTAGCTTTGTCACCGCACACGACACATTGTTCATCTTTGTCCAGGTAACTAGGGATGTACCCTGGGGAGGAGACAGAGTCTGGAGGTCAGAACACTGGGGCCACAACAGCCAGGCCCAGCCCCAGAGGAATGGGGAGGCACCACCACCTGGAGGGCACATGGACAGCTGGGCACCCAAGCATGCATATATGCATGTGGGTGCAAGCACATGCATGTGGGAGCATTCACAGATTCGTAGATTGTTAGGGGCTGGAAGGGACCTAGCAGATCATCGGGTCTATGCAAATACACGTTAAGGCACTTTTGCAAACATGTCAATATGCACACTGCTATGCACACGTGTACGCATGATTTACTGGTGGGAACAGGGGACAGTGATCCTGCTTTGCCCAGACAAGACAGGGCAGGGGGTCTCAGGGGCAGGATGGGCCCAGCGTATACACTGTAAGAGACGCAACTGGAGCACAAACTTTAGGCCCACTTTAGGATTAGGGTTAGGGTTAGAAGCCTTGTTCCCAACACCCAGAGCTGGCTGCTGAGTGCTGCCTATGCCCACATAACAGTACAGCCAGCCAGTAGCAGGAGCCCCACTCTGTGCCCTGCCATTATCCCAATCCCCCACTACCCCAAGAGGTGCAGAGGCCTTGCGCTAGTTGCAGGCAAGTCAGGGTGACACTCCTCCCTCCAGAGTCACTACTGAAAGGTTGATTCCTTCACAGGGCAGATGAAAGCCAGGGCCAGCTCTGTGTGAATACCCCACAGTGCACATATCCCCCCTGCTTGGACTCTGCACAACAGGATGAAGAGGCAGAAACAGGGACAGAGACCCAGCGGCCTGCACTGCAGGAGGCCTTCATGAATGACAACAGCAAGAACGAGGAGCTGCCGACAGGCGTCACCGTAAACGCACAACTGCATGAAATCCAACCACGCGCGGTTCCTTGGGCAACAGGCAAAGCAGCTCTGTACCATGTGCATTGAGAGACGGGCTCCTCATGGCTCCAAGGAGGAGAGAGGCCTGATGCACAGCCAGGCTGGGCTGGTGCCAGGGCTGCTTCCTTCCTGCCCTCACCCTGCAGTCATGCAGCTGTGAGCCCAGGAGGCAAAGGGACTTGACTCAGGGCACCAGGGAGTCTGTGGCAGGGCAGAGACTTGACCCCCACCTTGTCTCCCAGCACTGGCTGCCCCATGGGTGGAGGCCTTAAAGCCAGTGCAAAGATAGCCTGCCTCCTACTTGGTAAACATCACTTGGGAGAGGCTTAAAGCTGACTCAGGCACCCATGGCCCATGCCAGACTCAGAGAGCTTTGCAGTGGGGCTGTGCCTCCCAAGAAACCAAGCCCTTTGCAGCTGGACCTGGTTGACCTGGAAGGAATGGGGCTGCAGAAGGTGTCAGGACAGCCATTGTAAAGAGAGCCAGCTAGGCTGGTGGGCTGGCGGTGGGCGCACAGTCAGAGAGCAGGACACACCGGAGAGCTCCCAGGCCTGCAGGGAAGAGGAGAAACTGAGGTACAGAGAGGAGATGGGCTGTGCCTACTGTCCTGCGGAGACCCTGGCCCCTCTGTACCCCCAAGGGATCACTCCACAGTGCCCCGCAGGGCTTCCTGGATCCACAGGAGGCCCCAAAATCCTGGGGTTGGCCCTGACACTGCCCCATCTGTGTGTGTGTGGGGGGGAGCTATGCCCCTCCCACATGCTAGACACAGTGGGAGAAGCTAGACACTGAAGGGGTTAAAGGAAAGGGGGGTTGGGGGGATGTAAATAGGTTTGTTCAGCCCCAGACCCTTCCGAGCTAGGGTGGCGGGGGGGGGGGGGCGGAGCCAGGCCCACTGTTTTTTCTGAAAGGCAATTTAAAGAGGGAGGTCAGGGCTGTTGGTGCAGAAGGGCCCCAGCCCTGAATGTTTCCCCTCCCTCCTTCCCAATAAAGAAAGGCCTCATTATACTGGGAGGGGGGTGCAGATGAGCCCACCCCCACCCAGTGCCCCCTTTGTCTGCTCAGCTCACGTGACCTGCCTTCCCAGCTCTGTTGGTGGCAGAGGGGCCTGTCCCCTTGCTCACCAGGCCAGGGCCTCCTGACAATGCCCCACTGTCACTGCTTTTGTCTGGGTTTGGGAAGAGCTGGCCCCACCCACCCCCATGGCCTTGGGGTGACCTCGCTGGTGGGGGAGGGCGGCATGGCCGAGTTGGTGCTGCTCAGCCCAAGGGGAGTCCCAGAAAGGCTGTGTCTGTCCCTTGTGCCCCTCATTGGGGAAACTGAGGCAGCCACTGAAGAGGCAGAGAAAGGCAGTGACGGAGCTGGGGAGAGAACCCAGGAATCCTACCCCGCCTCTGCATCTCTAATCCAGCAGGTTCCACCTGCCTCCCAGAGCTGGGGAGAGAACCCAGGCGTCCTGGCACCCAGCCCCCCCTCCCCGCTTTAAGCCAGCAGTCTCCCCTCCCTTGCCAGCCCAGGCATTCTTGTCAGCCTTGCTGCTGCTGTTAGCAGCAAAACTGAGGAAAAGGGTAATTTCAGCAAACAGCTGCAGGGTCCAGAGAGCTTCCGGTTTGCTGGAAATTCTGAAAAAATGTTGATTTTGGTCCAATTTGGATTGGAGCCATTAAAAAAAAAATAAACCTCCTGTGAACCAGAAACCCTGCTTTCAGCCAGCACAGGCTCTGGGCTCTGCCTCTGGCCAGGGAGGGGAGCGGGGGAGCGCTCCTGGTTAAAGCAGGAGGCCTGGGAGCCAGGACTCCTGGGTTCTACTCTCATCTGTACCGTGGATGTCAGGGAACAAGACAGAACCTACCTCCCCTATCCCCATAAACCTGCCCATGTGAGACCCCCAGGGCAGCCACTTCTGCCCTAAGGGGGTATGTAATGGACACCTGCCCTGCCTGCATCTCCTGGGAGCATGACTATAGCAGGTACCCACGCATGCATGCGTGTTCAGGTGGGTGTTCTCAGGAGCCTGTATGTGTGTGTGTGCACGCAAGGTGCTGTGGACTCAAGCATTGGCCTGCACATGGGGACAGTGTTGGTGGGGGACGGGGGCTGTGGCAACTGGAAGCAGATGTCAGGCCAGCTGGGACACTGCGTTGCTTATCTGCCCCACCCAGTGTTACCCCAGGGTCCAGCCCCAACTACACATGTGCTGGTTCAGGGAGGCCAGGACTCCATGAGGGAGATGGTCTATGTTGGCTTCTCCTGGCATCTCCAATGGAGGGACCCAGCAGAGGCTGGTTCCTGGAGCCCTCACTCTAGCTCTGGACAAGCCTCCCTACCCCCACAATGTGCCCCTTGTCACCCCCACCACAGCAGCAGGGAGCGCTGTCAGCACCAGCAGTGGGAGCAGGCTCTGCCGCAGCCTTGGGGAACAACACTTTCCACCATTATCTAGGGCTTGCAGAGTTCCATGCTCCCTCTTGCCAGAGCCGATACCCTCAGCTGACCCTGCTCAACCTCCTGCTGAGAGTCCCAGGACTTGCAGGGAGGGGCTGGCGGGGGGATGAGAATGGGATCCAGCCCCTCCCCTGCCCCTGGGGGAACCAGTCTGTTGCTCCCACTAGCTTGAGGACTGGGTGCTGAGCCTTGGTAGGATCCTGCTGCCCCCCACCTCTGGGGCTGGCCCTGAAGCCTAGGAAGCAGCTGTTTGACCCACCAGATGGGCACACAAGGTAGAGGGTGCAGGGGGCTCCAGCTACCTAGGCTGGGGTGGGGGAGTAGGGACAGGCTGCCCTAGGGGTGGTCCAGAGGGGTCAGTACCTGACATGCTGCTCTTCACCGAACATTGGCTGCTCTTTCTTTTGCGTTTCCCATCCGGCCACCTGCAGGGGAGACATGGGGAGTCCTGGTTATCGACTGCAGTGATGGCCTCTCTGCCTCCACCCACCCTGCCATGACCCACAGCTCACAAGCCTCCCTCC